GAGTCTCGGCTGTGAATGAAAGAATGGTCTTGAAGGAGCTTAGAGCTTGTTCCACGATGGAGTTTGCTTTTGCGTGTTCTTTGAAAGATTTCTTAGATAAGTGAACAAGGTATTTGCCATAGATCAACCCTGGGATTAAAAGAAGAACAAGTGTTGGGATGGCCACGACGGTTAATCTCCATGAAAAGTATGCCGAAAACAGAAGGCCAGTGATGAAAACTGATATGTGCATCAAGAATGTGGGCACCTGTGGTAATTTAGCAATAGATTGATAAAAAATTTCAACATGACATAATTTTAAAACAATTAAGACAGAACATGTTTAAAACACTTTTTTGAAAATATTATTTTTATTTACAAAAGTATGTCATTACAAATTTACTACCATATGTTTTGTTTCAATTTTAGGATTCTCGTGGTAATATTGAATTTTTTTTAATAAAAAATTTACTAAAACAAAACACTCTTCTTATTTTGTTAATAAACTAATGTACGATAGTCATAAGAAAATAAAATGGTTTTTACTAATCTGTTGCATTTAAATCAAATATTTTTATATCGTTACGATTATGTAAAGTAAGATTGATCCGTGGGGAGATTACTGAAAACTTAATGAACCCTGACTCTTTTAACCTTTTCTTTACTAAAGTTATATATGTTTAAAACACCAATTACTTTTGTGGTATTTTAAGATATTTTTTTGTATATATCAAATTATACCATAAGTCAACCACAGTCTTAAACTTAATAAGTTTTATGCCCGCACAAATAACAGATCAAAATTGTTTTATCAAAATGTGATACCTTTTCACTAAGAAGTTGTTGGATGAGAGAAGTATCAGTAGAAATAGTGTGAATGATTTCAGAAGTGGAAACATCTGAATCGAAGAACGAAACTTCTTGTCGGAGAACAGCTTCAAGATATGTTCGTCGAATCTTCACAACTTGTCTCTCGCTGGTTTTGCTCCAACAATATCCCTCTGCACCAAAAAATTCCACTCCATACATTTTAACTTCATTTTAATTAATGCATATTTACTTTACAATTAAGAAACTATTTGAATGATGTAAAAAAAAAACTATTTGACATTACCCATAAATGCCACTCCCAAGATTGCCAATCCCAGGTATACAAAGTATAAACTGCACTGTATAGAAGAAATTATTCAATGCTTAGGTCGAATGATTTTAAGAAATCTGATCACTCAAGAATATATTTTCTTTTCAACATATATTATGAAATTAAAATAGCTTGTTGGTTAACGAAACTAAAAGAAAAGAGTTTACAAAAATAAAATCATGGAAACGAATTAAACTATTATGAGCTAAAACTTAAAAGGATCACACATGAATACGATAATCAGTATCTTTCTTCAACGAATGGATCATTGTGTCATCAAGAACTGAACTGCATATCAGTTGAGCGATACCGATACCTGTGTATAAAAAACTCCCACGAGCAAAAATCTATTCACATACGTACATCGGTACATATATCATTCCATAAATAGATAGAAATAATTAAACCCCTTCGACCAAAAAAAGATTTAAACAATTCTTGTTTTCACCTTTCTCTACTCATTATTTTTAATTTTAATAAATTATTTCTGGAATAGATATAACAAATAGTAATTCGATAGTAGAATCAATCCAACCTGTTTGTTCTTGGCCGCGATTTCGACTCTTTATGTTAGACGTGTAATAATTGTAAAAACAAACTGAATTAAAAGATGACTAACCTTTTGAATCTCTTCCTTGAAAGTTGTGGAACTAGGATTGTGTTGACCGTAGCCCAAAGAATTCATGATCCTGCTTGCGAATACTAACGCTACATTCGTGGACATTCCATCTCCAATGGCTCCCACAGTACCAAGTACCATAAGAACTATATCTACCCAATCCGCAAACCGAAATATTACGTGTGTGTTACTACTCGATTTAAATGATACCGTTGAGGTTTTCTCCTGAGATCTCATCTTAATTCTTCTTTTGTCTTTTGCTCTTCTTGATTTTTTTCTTAAACCTCGTTGAGAAGAGTATTCATTAACTACAAGAAGAGTGCGCCAAGTGATAGTTGAAGTGTTTACACCTAAAATGGAAGGTGGGAGGAGCTTTTGCTTTTGTATGTTTTAACAATATAATATAATTTGCTTTTATATGTGATGTTCAATAATGTAGGTATTCTTTATTATGCTTTTCTCTTATGGTTGTTGATAATTCTATTTCATCACAAGTTGATTTCATTGGGTCACCGACTAACCAACCGCATAATCCTCCTTCTTTTTGTTTACTTTATATTATATGACCAATCAACAACCATGCATAAAAGAGAGAGTGATATATACCACTTACTTCGACTTCGTCTACTTCGACAATCATCTAATACTGAGTCTAAATAGTGAAATTAGTTTGAGGAATTGTTAAAGAATTATTTAGAATTTTTTTGGTCACATCATTTACAGAAAAAAAAAAACTTGAGGAATTTTAGTTACATCATTTGGTTACATCATATTTTTAAGTTTGTTATGTTTTTATGTTTTTAGATTTTTAATAAACTAAGACTACTTTACATTATAAATCATAATTTTCAGAAATTTTTAATTAGTTTGTGTAATGATCATAGAAATTGATTAGTTAACTTTCCTTAAAAAGTAAAAGACATAAATAATGATGGAATTAATGATGACTAGAGAATAAAAATAAGTTAGGTTTATATTGATGGCTAAAGAATAAAAATAAGTTTGTAACCAATTAATAATTAATTTTAATAGTTTAAGGTTTCATATGATAATTATTTTTGATAAACTTTAAATATATTAACTTAAAATTTTAACAACTGCCTTTTTATGAATTATACCCCCTTTGTTTTAGAATATAAGATGTTTTAGGTAAAAACCACGCAAATTAAGAAATATTTACTTTTAAAAAGGTCAACTAATAATGAAAGAGATGACAAAGTATAAATAATCATAAAATATTAAATTAATATATAATTTACCTAGAAACTTGAAATCATCTTATATTGTGAAACACATTTTTTTTCTCCAAAACATCCTATATTTTAAAACAGAATGAGTAGTTTATTTGCTAAATTAGGTTGTTATCTTAATAAGATTATTAAATCTATAAGAATTTAAATTAAATGTTTTTATTTTTTTATTTTATTAATAATGTTAATAAAAAAACTTTAATTTAGTATATTTATAAGTTTATATATCTAACTGATTTTTCCAAAAATTCAGCGGTTACAATTTAAATTCTAAATTATTTAACCAGATTCCGAAAAAAATCATAATAAAATTCGGTCAGATTCAGCAATTCAAATAGATTCAGTCGGATTCAGCGGTTACTATTTAGACCAAATTTCAGGAGTAATCATTGAAAACCTTTTCTCTTCTTATCGATTTATGCATATGAGTTTCTTAAACCTTGCTTTGATGATATCTTTAAGCATGATTGAGTAGTTTACTTGTTGGTTTGAAGGATCATTCAAAGGGGAGCTCATGCTCAATTATTTTAGGTTACGATTCCTAGGGTTGGTTTGTTTACACTATTCTTCGTCTATTCTTAATCTCAATCCATATGGTTAACGACATGAATTAGTTGTTGAACATAGGGAAGTAGGATTCGCAAATTGTGGGTCTTATTTGCTTGAACCTAGACTCGGACGAGCTTGATCTCATAACAATTAAACATCACTTAGTTATGGTGTTCTTGTGAACTTATCGAAACTTGATTTACTTGCTGGTAGAGATGGGTCGCTGCCTATGGCAGCTGAACAACGGAGTATTGAGACTTTAGACATATAATTATGTGACCTATAGGTTGTTTGTTCATTCGTGTTTCGAGTTCGAGAATTTAGAAGTAAACATTCACATAACTTAAATTTGCTTGAATAAAACGTTTGTTGAATAATTCCTTGAATGCCCAACGCCTCTTCTCACGTTTGCTATTATGGAATTTCCAATTTACGATGATTTAATTCAGCTTTTTGTTTGGTTTCTTATAATTTATTATTTTGTTCTCGTAAATTAAATTTGGAGCTTTTGGAATTAAAAATTAAAATTTTAATGCAAAACAACCCAGATCTTTATTAAATAATAACAAAATTAAAGTGCTATTAAAACATATGTGATTGTTGATAGGAAAGTGCTATATTAAAAAAAGATACAATAGACGTTTTCAAAAAAAAAAAAAAAAAAAAAAAAAAAAAAAAGAAGATACAATAGCAATACGAAAAACCGCTATCTAAAATGACCGATCTATTATCGCGGGTGATGAGATAACGTTTTTAATAACACTATTGTATCATTCTTGTATCATTCTATAGCGTTTATATAGTGTTATTAATACTCGCTTTTTCTGTAGTATATACACAAGCCTCTTTAGAGAACTAGGTTAATTGTTGAAAGTTGTGTTTTCATTAGCATAAAGAACCTTTATATAGGCCACGACTTCTTGAACATAAGAAGGAAAACAAGGAAAAACACCAAAACTATTATAACTCTAACACATAAAGAAAAACACCAAAACGCATTAACCGTATCATTACTCCCTTCCTTGACTTCGAGCTTAAGGGTATGCTTCTTGTAGCTTCTTTGCGTTCTTCCACATATTTCACCATTTCTTCTTCTTTAAATCACTACAAGAAATATCTACATTATTAGCAAGAGGTAAGAGCTATTATATGTCATTAATAGCGTTTGCATAAACGCTGTCTTATGCCCCTGTTATGGTAGACCCCCTACATACGATAGCGTTTTTTTGGTATATTATTATAGAGCATTCTACCATAGTATTAGGCAAACACTTTGATATAACGACTTATAATAGCGATATATATAAGCTATGATCTATAATTTTTATGATGCTATAATTTCAGTGCCATAACTCTAATTTTATGCGGTTGTTTTAAGCTATTTGCATTTGGTGGAACCTGTTTAGTTTTCAAAATATCCAATATATATATATATATATATATATATATATAAGAATAATAATAAACATCCAAAAGATATACATCATTTCATAAACCAAAAATCAATTCATACATAACACAAGTCTCAATCCAATACTTAAACTAATATCCTAACTTCTATATACTACTTTTGCCAAGGAAGTTATTAATGACATCATGCAAAATCCTTACTTCGTTTCTAGATATTGGACTCGATTCCTCAAGTAAGTTAGTTCAGCTTCATAGGTTGTTGTAGCCTCTTCCTTTCTCTTAGGTTTTCGAAAAATACTGCTACCTTTTCTCTTAGGTTTTCCTCAAATACTGCAGTCTTCATCTATGTCACTGTCCTCAACGACGAGATTCATTATATCTTCTGTTAGAACATGAAATAGAACAAGTGAAATTCAGGCTTCTTGACGACAAACTTATTGAGTCACTTTATTAGTAAACAAATCTCTTTACTCACCTGAAAACTCAACCTGCGATTGAGACATATCTTTAGCCTGAGAAGAGACTAATTCCATTTCCTTTGTACCTTTACTTCAAGAAACTCAAGACCATCACTTGTATCCAACATCGGTGACTCATAGACATAACTCGAAAACCACTTACTTAGATCAGGAACTTCTGAGAATTCTTAAAACAAAAGTGACGAACCACATAAGTGAAATCAATGCAGCTAATCTAGCTTACTGTTGGGATCGGATCCCACACATCTTCGGTAGGATCCACTTGGATCTGTCCACGTCATTATTACATAATAATCCTCTTGGATTCCTAGATGTTTCATTGCCAGAATCGAGCTCGACCTGTCGGAAGTTTGATTCAGTTTATTAAAGAGCTCGATCTTTACCAGTACGGAGTTCGCTCTTATTCAATATACTGTTCGCATAAAAGAAGGCCGAAGCGAAGAGAATATTGTTCGAGGTTCGCGGCAGCATCAAGACGCAAGAGTTCGGAGTCAACAAAAAAGAGTTCGGAAGATCCACGCGAAGCCCAAGATAGTTCAAATTCAAGCCGTTTCGGTCAAATTGTAACCTACATGATTAATGCGGATCAATGCAATTATGAGCAGTAAATGACCGCATTGATCATGTTTTCTCTATAAAAACAACCTCAAACGCATGTGTTTGAGGGAGAACAACTTTTTTTCCTCTTACGATCAAGCAATACAACATACTTTTTATTTTACAATTTTGCAAGGCTTTTTACTATTTTATTCTTTCCAAGTTCTTTCGCTTTATTTAGTTTCTTGGTTGATTTTAGAGTTTTTCTCCACAAATATACTTAAAGACAATCGAGTGTGAATCCTACATCCACACTTACCACTAATAATATCCACAAAATGATGTTTCAGAAACCAAACTAATTAAACAAGTTTGATGCTACCTTCACTATCATCCATCTCTCAATTCTCTATATTCAAAAGTCAAGTCTTTTCCTCTGCCTCTTTGGTCTTAACCAAAACTCGATCTCCCAATAGCTTAATTGAAGCTAAGTATATTGTCAATACTAAACTAAGACAGAGAAAATTATAAGTCATTACTAGAAGGAAACCTATAAATCGTCACACATAGTTTTAGAAATAAAAGAGAGCTTGACTTCTAGCTGCACTTGACGAAAGAAAGAATAGAGACTTACCTAGTGGAGAAGGATAAATGAAAGGCAAGAGTTGCTAAAGGTTGACTTAAGAGAGGCTCCCTTATTACAGACAGAATCTACACAAGATTCTTGCAATATCGAGTAAGAAAAAGTCCTAAAATTGATATCTCATTCATATGTAAAAATGTCCTGAGATACTGAGCAAAGAGACCATACTTAACAATGACCTGATATAATAAAATGTCCACTAGCATTCCTATTAGGTACTAAAACCATTCCACGAGAATCTAATAACATCCAATGGTACATGTTGGGGTCGGATTCCATCCTTTGGCTCCGAGCCAGACTTTGAACACCTCGAGAGTTTTACAGAGATCACCTCGGGATATCGCATCAGCCACCTCAGGTTATCCACCTAATCGATTTAGTAGACCCGAGCCCCTCGCCTCGGGAATACCTGAACAAGACGTCTCAAGCACCCGAGCCCAATTGCCTTGGGGTTACCCGAGCCCAGTCGCCTCGGAAGTACTCCAGCTCAATCGCCTCGGAGCACCCAAACCCAATCGCCTCGGAGCACCCGAGCCAGTCGCCTCGGGGTACTCAAACAAGCCATTCTAGAGTGCCCGAGCCAGTCCTTCCTGTATACCCGAGCCGGTTGCACAAGTTCTCCGAGGCGAAGTCTTCGTCATCACCCGAGGCAAAGACTTGGTAAATATTCACCTTCAAAGTATCATTTCCAAGTAAGGTATCATTTCCGAAGGATCATTTCCGATAGACCCGGAAATGATAGGGGAGAATCTCGAAAGATCAACTCAAATCAGGAAACCCCCGAAAAATAAGGAAACTATCCTAATCCGCGATATTCTGAGCCGACTTCAAGATAAATGGAAATCTTCCGGGAATATCGCTGGAGAGGCGGTTTATCACCTATATATAAAGAGACTCAAGGCTCAAGCAAAGGGGAAGCAATATCGCTCTAGACTTTACACTACGCAAAGCTCTCACAGCACAAACACCTTTTTCTTTTACGATCAAACTCTTGTACGATCAAAACTACTTTTTTCATCAATAAGATCAAGAACACCATCTTTGGTTGCAATTGTTTTCTGTTGTTCTTTGAGAATTCGCATATGTCGTATCCCTAAATTTAAACCCTAGACAAATCTCGATTGTGTTAGTTTTGACTTCCACAGTTTGGCGCCGCCTGTGGGGATTCTTTAGAATTCTCTTACCCTAAGACACAAAACTCGATTACCGAAAAGGACGATGAACGAAGACGGTCGTCAGACACCACCAGCTGGAGGAGGGATCCCGAACCCTCTGAACCCTCAGAATCCTCAAGCCGATCCGACGATCATAGCGACTCTAGCCGAACTGAAAGATCTGATGGTTAAATTCCAGAAGAAAGCTGATGACCAAGAGAAAGCTAACAAAACCTTGGCGCAGCGAGTCGACAAAATCGCAACACGTGGGCAACAAAAAACAACGCGTTTCCAGACTCGGCCGCCACGAGCTCGGAGGGATTTACCTGGCATCAACCCAACAAGACTCACGTTCGCGACACCAACCGGCAACACAAGAGTCGCAACCTGAGCCGACCCTGCCAGACGCGAGAACCAAGATGACCCCACCGAGCCAGACGTAGTGGATTTAACGGACGAGCCAGACGATCTACAAGATGAGCGTACCCAAGCCGGAGCTAACTCCGCCGAGCGAACAGATCTCACTGACGATGAAGAAACTGAGGAAAACATAAGGTGGGCCGAAGAATCTGAAAGAGAAGATGAGCTAAGCAAGATCCGAGCCTTCTCAGCCAAGGCGGAAGCTGATATGAAGCTCCTCAAAACCCAGATACATAGCGTTTCATCCTCCGCACCGAACATCGACCGAATTTTAGAAGAATTTCGGAATACTCCTTTCACCAAAAGAATTTCCGAAACGACGATGTCCAATCTGGGAAAGTTCAAATCGACTCGTATAACGGATCAACCGATCCAAAGTGCCACATTAAATCGTTCGTGATATCTGTGGCCCGAGCCAGGTTCAAACCCGGGGAAAAGGATGCAGGTCTGTGCCTACTGTTCGTGGAACACCTCAAAGGACCCGCATTAGAGTGGTTTTCAAGATTGGAACGAAACTCGATTGACAGTTTTGACGAGCTGTCGACACTGTTCCTCAAGCAATACTCCGTGCTCATCGACCCCGGAACCTCCGACGCAGATCTGTGGTCCCTGTCTCAACAGCCCACCGAGCCGTTAAGAGATTTCCTCAAAACCTTCAAATCGACGCTAGCCAAGGTAAAAGGAATTACAGATGTAGCCGCTCTTTCGGCTTTAAAGAAAGCCCTCTGGTATAAGTTAGAGTTCAGGAAAGAGTTGAATCTGTCTAAACCGACAACAATTCGCGACGCGCTGCACCGAGCCTCGGATTTCGTCGCCCACGAAGAAGGGATGGCGCTACTAGCGAAGAGGCACGAGCCAACGAAACAGGCGCCCCGGGCCGAGAAAGCCGAAAAAGCCCAAGCGACGCCTCCGGTCCAGAAAAAACACGCGAGAGCGGTACGTATACGCATCACGAGGGGCGCAATTTCTCAGGATACCATAGCTATCAGATTGATACGCCCCGAGGCCGCGGCCGCGGCAGAGGCCGAGGTCGTGGGCGAGGAAGAGAGTCCTTCACTTGGACAAGGGATCAGCCACCGAGCAATGATCAAGAATACTGCGAATACCACAAAATTTTTGGCCATCATAACTCGAGATGCCGAAGCCTCGGAGCCAAGTTAGCAACCAAATTCCTAGCTGGAGAGCTCGGGACGAATGTTACTCTTAAGGACCTCGAGCCAGAACCAGAGCCCGAGCAGACCAACCCGGGAAGAGATCCCGAACCAAGGAACCAGGAGTCTCAGAAAAGAACCCGGGGGTCGAAAGACGAAGACCGAGATGGTACACGGTAGAAGGTTCTTACCATAATGGGTGGATCGCCATACTGTCCTGACACCGTAGCGGCAATTAAAGCTTATCAACGCCGAGCCGAGACGCCTAGCAACTGGACAAGACGCTTCGATCGACCTAACGACGTGATCACATTCGAAGAAAGCGAGACAAACGGGCTCGACATGCCTCATAACGATCCGATCGTCGTCACTTTAGCGATAGGAGACCATGATATTTACCGAGTATTAATTGACACTGGCAGCACCATCGACGTAATCTTTCGTGAAACGCTCCGGCAAATGAACATCGACATGTCACAGGTGATTCCGACCCCGAGGCCTGTCCTCGGATTTTCAGGGGAAACTTTGATGACGCTTGGAACCATCCAACTACCAGTCCGAGCCGGCGGGGTAACAAAGATAGTCAACTTCTCTGTCACCGATCGACCTACCATCTACAACGTCATAATGGGAACTCCGTGGTTAAACCTAATGCGAGCTATCGCATCAACATATCATCTGTGTGTCAAATTCCCGACCCCCAATGGCGTGAAAACGATCTGGGGCAGTCAGAAAAATTCTCGGATGTGTTTCATGGCAGCACACAAACTCCGAAACCCTGTCACTGAAGCGAAGGCTGAAACGGATCACAAGAAATCAAAACTTGGCCGGAGTGAAGAGAAGGCTATATCTAAACAGTTATAGCAATTACAGATCGAGGAGGCGCGCGAGGAGAAGAAGCCTACCTCGGACCCTGTAATCTCCATTAGCCTCGACGACGAACGGCTTGAACGATGCGTGGAAATTGGCAGCGACTTAACCTAGGAAATCAAGACCGAGCTCATCTCATTCCTCAAAGAGAACATCGACACTTTCGCCTGGTCGGCTGAAGATTTACCTAGGGTAAGCATCGACGTAATCTGCCACGAGCTGAATGTTGACCCATCTTTCAAGCCCATCAAGCAGAAGCGAAGAAAACTGGGTCGGGATCGCGCAGATGCAGTGAACGCCGAAGTAGAAAAGCTCCTGAAGATCGGCTCGATCTCTGAAGCAAGATACAACTGGTTAGCAAATCCTGTCGTGGTTAAAAAGAAGAACGGCAAGTGGAGAGTCTGCGTCGATTTCACCGATCTGAACAAAGCTTGCCCTAAAGACAGTTTTCCGCTCCCACATATCGATCGTTTAGTGGAAGCAACCGTGGGAAATAAGTTACTATCATTCATGGATGCTTTCGCAGGATACAATCAGATTCTCATGCACCCCGACGATCGCGAGAAGACAGCATTCATCACAGACCGAGGTATCTACTGTTACAAAGTCATGCCCTTCGGACTCAAGAATGCTGGCGCAACGTATCAACGGCTCGTCAACAGGATGTTCTCCGAACAGCTCGGGAAGACGATGGAAGTTTATATCGACGACATGTTAGTCAAATCCCTTGAAGAAAGCGATCACATAGCCCATCTACGCGACTGTTTTCGCCAGCTCAACAAGCACAATATGAAGCTTAACCCGGCAAAATGTCGTTTCGCGGTAAAGTCTGGAGAATTCTTGGGATATCTCGTAACTCACCGAGGCATCGAGGCAAACCCGAAGCAAATCGATGCTCTACTAAACATGCCCTCACCACAGAACAAGCGTGAAGTCCAACGTCTCACCGGGAGAGTCGCAGCCTTGAACCGATTCATCTCGCGGTCCACTGACAAATGCCTTGCTTTCTACGATACTCTGCGCGGGAACAAGAAATTTGAATGGACCGATCGCTGCGAATAAGCTTTCCAGGAACTGAAGAAGTATTTGGCTAACCCACCGGTGTTAGCGAAACCAGTCCCGGGCGAGCCATTATTCCTGTACATCGCAGTCTCTAATACGGCTATAAATGGTACAATTCGATCTGATGGTCCGCCTCGGAGTCGCTCGAAGAACTCCAGACCATCTTTCCCTTGTAGACAGGGAGGTGAGTGTCGCCTCGGGGCGAATCACTGGAATCAGAAAGAGACATTTTCTGGCTCGGGAGATTGAAGAAGTTGATCGGAGAAACAAAGCTTGACAGATCGAAGAAATCAACCTAGATCTAATGACGGTGGCGCTATGACGGAAGTATTAACGGAAAAAGTAGAAAATGCAAGAACTCAAGATCAGAGAAAAGAGAACGAACCTTGAAAATTTTCCTTTGCAATTGCGAAATGAAAAAATAAATCGGAGGCTTAACATTTATAGAGATTTGGGGCGCGTCGGGTACGAACGAGCCAAATAAAACACATCGTATCCGTGTCTAGGGCGCATCGGGTACGCACGAATTGAGTAGGATACTTCGCATCCGCATGAATCTCGGGAATCAGCGAAAAGACCTTTCCACTTCTCGAGAAGGAATCCCAACTGTCACACGCCAAGAGAAGATGAAACGACAGGAATTCGAATCGCCAAAGTAAACGGCTCGGCCTAATTGTCATAGAGCTCGTCACGCTTGGGTCCCCAAACTAACGAGCTGGGGGGCTAACTGTTGGGGTCGGATTCCATCCTTTGGCTCCGAGCCAGACTTTGAACACCTCGGGAGTTTTACAGAGATCACCTCGGGATATCGCATCAGCCACCTCAGGTTATCCACCTAATCGATTTAGTAGACCCGAGCCCCTCGCCTCGGGAATACCTGAACAAGACGTCTCAAGCACCCGAGCCCAATTGCCTCGGGGTTACCCGAGCCCAGTCGCCTCGGAAGTACTCCAGCTCAATCGCCTCGGAGCACCCGAACCCAATCGCCTCGGAGCACCCGAGCCAGTCGCCTCGGGGTACTCAAACAAGCCATTCTAGAGTGCCCGAGCCAGTCCTTCCTGTATACCCGAGCCGGTTGCACGAGTTCTCCGAGGCGAAGTCTTCGTCATCACCCGAGGCAAAGACTTGGTAAATATTCACTTTCAAAGTATCATTTCCAAGTAAGGTATCATTTCCAAAGGATCATTTCCGATAGACCCGGAAATGATGGGGGAGAATCTCGAAAGATCAACTCAAATCAGGAAACCCCCGAAAAATAAGGAAACTATCCTAATCCGCGATATTCTGAGCCGACTTCAAGATAAATGGAAATCTTCCGGGAATATCGCTGGAGAGGCGGTTTATCACCTATATATAAAGAGACTCAAGGCTCAAGCAAAGGGGAAGCAATATCGCTCTAGACTTTACACTACGCAAAGCTCTCACAGCACAAACACCTTTTTCTTTTACAATCAAACTCTTGTACGATCAAAACTACTTTTTACGACGGACTAATCTCGTCGGTAAATGGTCTCATATATGTGACTATTGTCCAACTATTGTGCGGCTACATATTTTGAGTCGCAACAGCGTCGCCATTCACGACGGATTAGAGACGTTTTTTTAGTCATAAAAGAGAGTCGCAAGGTAGTCTCAAAATTGCCACTATTTTGCCTCTGTTTACCAACTCCTTGAGATTTACAATTCGTATTTTGACAAAATAAAATGTTAAATCTGTTAAGTTACGCATTTTTAGATTGATTTGAGCTACTACAAAAACATAGATTATATCTAAAGTTTTTATTTTCAAAGTTTTGGACAAAATCTTTGTAAATATCAAATCATGTACATGATGTTACATAGGTTTTTAAAGTAAGATTTCTAATTTGTGTAAGTTTGAAAACAAACTTACTAAATGATTGTTTTACCCTCTTAAAATGAGAGATATACTTTATACTTGGAATAGAAATACTTGTAATTCCATAATATTAATGTAGTTGGATCTTAATGTTTAGAATTTTAAAATAGTGGTTTGTGACTCATACAAGAATGTCACAAAAACGTGACTCTTTGCGACCGTCTTGCTACTAAAATAGTGGTTTGTGACTCTATATTTGTGACTACTTTGCTACTCCAGTGGCTTTGCGACTACTCTGCCTCTGTTTACCAACTGCTCGAGATTTAAAAATCATAATTTTTACAACATTGAATTGAAATAATGTTAAGTTTTAAGTTTCAACATATATTTAAACTATTATGTAGACTAAATCTTAATAACAAAAGATATAAAGTCTATATTATAAATCTATATTTGTAAATACCATATCATGTATTAAGTGTTACATGTGTTATACTTTGAATATTCTTCAAAGTTGTATATCATTCAAAATTTGTTTTGTAATACATTTGTTTTTTCTTTAAACAGATTTTTTGACTCTAGGTTATCAATATGATTGATTATAAGTCATATATGTATTTTTTGGCTATTAAAATTTATATAAGTTTGTGACTCTCAAAATAGCGTGACAATATTGTTACACTTTGCGACGAGCTTGTGACTAAGTTTATTAATATGCAACGGATTAGCTACTACCAGTGTTCAAGAAAGCGCTAGGCGCTAAGCGGGCGGTAACCCAATGCCTAGTGCCTAGAAGGACTAATCGGGGCCTAGGCGATTTTTTAGGCGGTTTAGACGTTTATAACATAAAACATTATAAATATGATATTATATATAAAAGTTATATAAAATATCTATATAAAACTAAAAATTATGAAATTATAAACAAAAACTAGATAAAACCTTTATTTATATTTATAATAAACAATATATGAATATTTATAACTATATATATATAAATAAAACTCTAATTGAAATTGAAAAAAATACATTAAACAAGATCTATATAATTTTAGGCGGTCAAGGCAGTTATCTAGGCGTCGCATGAGAGCCTAGAGCCTAGTCGAGGCCTAGGCGACCGCCTAGACCGCTTTTTAGAACACTGGCTACTACTAATATGTGTGACCGTTTTGTGACTGATAAAAAAAATTCAGATTTTCAGCAATTATTAAGCGGGAATTTATTTCCCCCGGTCGAAAATAATTTCGTGATATAACTAAGTGTTTACACTTTACATTTTTTGCGAAAAGCAAAAGTCTTTACACTTTCCCAAACAAAAACCCTAGAATCTCTCTAGATATTCTTCCTCTCTGGCTCTTCTCTCCGGTGCTTCTCTTCCTCTTGTTTGCTTACCATGTTGTCAAATGGGAAATCGAAAAGAGGTGGTCGTGGTGGCAGATCCGGCGGTGGTGTTCGAATTAACAGTGGCGGTCGATCAAACGGAGTTGGTGGGTCGTCTTCTCACTCTTCCAACCCGTCTTCTTACGAGACTGGTTCGGTTTCTCGGCCGGTGTTACCTAGTCAATATCCATCATCGTCTTAGCAACGACCTCTCCGTCAGCCACAACCAGCAGCTCAAGCTTCACAACCGATGTACCTGAATCCCCATCATCAACCGCCGCCTCCTCCAAATCCGGAGCATCTACCGCCACCTTCTCCAAATCCGGAGCATCAACCACCGCCTCAGGAGCCGAATCATGAGCAACAAGACTTTCAGCAGTTGTTGGATGCTGTAATGGCTCTTCTTGGAAGACAACGTCTACCAATCTTGAGTCAACAAGATATCCCTGATCGTGAGACTATCTGGTAAGAAAACATCTTCTCGTTTCCTCTTGGTAACAAAAATTAGTTCGTCCTTGGTCTTTGGAGCTTGACAATTTCGATTGAGATTTATCCCTTTTTCATATTTTGAATTTAAGACTCATGCTTTCGTTTATGGGTTAAGATGAATTCGATTTTGAATATGAGAGGAGCTAGTGATTTGATAAGACGTCGGGTCTTAATATTGGAGTCTTTGGGTCTGTGATTATAAGAGCTCAATGACAATGAGTTCTTAGTTCTTAGTCTCATAGCTTGACTGTTTCATAGCTTCTCAGCCCACGTTTTTATCAAATGACAATGGATAAAGTGTGATTGTTTCATAGCTTGACTGTTCCATAGCTTCTCAGCCCACGTTTTGTATTTAATTAGAGATGGTTTTTTTAACTTCATTAGTCTAAAGTTTGACTGTTTCGTAGCATGTTTAATTCCCTTTTGTGATAGTTATTGGAGTCTTTGGGTCTTAATATTGGAGTCTTTGGGTCTGTGATTATAAGAGCTCAATGACAATGAGTTCTTAGTTCTTAGTCTCATAGCTTGACTGTTTCATAGCTTCTCAGCCCACATTTTTATCAAATGACAATGGATAAAGTGTGATTGTTTTATAGCTTCTCAGCCCATGTTTTGTATTTAATTAGAGATGTTTTTTTTAACTTCATTAGTCTAAAGTTTGACTGTTTCGTAGCTTGTTTAATTTCGACTTTAGTTTACTGATATTGAGTTTCTGGTTTGCTGATGTTGAGAGTCTTGTTTTCTGAGTAATATTGTCTGTTTTTGCTCACGTTTATGTCTGATTTTGCTTAAGAGTAGAGTCTGGTTTTCTGAATTTCATTGTCTGGTTTTGCTCATGTTTATGTCTGATTTTGTTGATGTTCATTTTCTGGTTTTGCTTATGTTCTTTGTCTGATTTTGCTGATGTTTATTGACTGGTTTTGATTGCTCTTTTTGACGTTTGAGAGAAATTTGAGATTACTTGATGTTGATTTTCTGGTTTTGAGTAAACAGTTAATTGTATTCTAGTTTCTATGTTTATAATCTTTTTTGTTTTGATCGACTTGGACAGCTAAAAATGTTTGAGTAAACCTTCTTTTGAGTAAATGTTTTGAGTAAACCTTCTTTACAGCTAAAAATGTTTTTGTGTTTAGTGTACTTTCACAGATAATAAGGGAAACCCCTTTGGACTTGGACAGCTGAAAGAGACGATCAAAAAAGGGAAGAGAAAAGAGAGTTATGGAAGCTCCTCTTCTTCGTCTTCACTGTTAGAGATGCAAGAAGATCTTGTAGCTGCTCGTCGTAAGCTTGCTGAAGTGGACCAAGAAAATGCTAGACGTGACGAGGAGCGACGCAAAGATCAAAGTCGCTTCACAAGCTTGGAGATGATGGTCTCCTATATGAGGAACAAAGATCCTGCCTTTGCAGAATTTTTGGCTACTCAACAGCAAGAAGCAACTGCAGCAGCAACCGTAGCTTCTCAACCACCAACCACCGCAGCAGCCACCGCAGCAGCCACCGCAGCAGCCATCCCACCTGCCAACGCACCATACTCTTCACCAGCTGCCACTTCACCCATGTCTAACACTTCTTCATCCTCTCCCTTGGCTTAGACCTTTTCTAACACTTATTCATCCTCTGTTTTAGACCTTTTAATCTACTTTGGCTTTTGTTATGGATGATGATTTTAGGGTTGGTTTTTGTAGTACTGAATTATTTTATGGGTTTCTAATATAAATCATATTAGGATTTCTTTTAAATTTAGTTTTTTTTTGTCAATTTAATTTAGGGGAGGTTGCAAATAAATAGCTATTTTCTCACCTATTTGCCACCACATACAAATAAAAACAGTGGCATATTGGTTGCTAATTAGTGACGCTAGAATCCATCATGTAGTCTTTAAAACGTCGCATCCTTACGACTCAACTTGCCGTTGCAACTTCGTCTCTGGTTTCGACTATCAACTTCAGTCACAAAATAGTCTCTATGTAGGACTACATTAATTAGTCTTCAAATGGTTACAAATTTACGACTATCTGTCGTTCTCACTAAGTGGTCGGTAATAAAGGACGGTTTTGCGACCAAATAAATTTGCGACCAAATTTTTGCGACCAACCAAAACAGTCCTTATTCAGTCTCAAATGCCGACTGTATGACTAATTTGGGACGATTTCGTTGGTCGCAAACAGCTTGTTTTCTTGTAGTGTCAAAATCCCAAGTCAAACTGGTTAACACTAAGCAACATCGATATAAAGAGATAACTCTTAATCGATCCACAAACCCAGATCCATCTAACCGACCACGAGCTAACTAAACAAAGACGTAGAGAGAAAGAGACATAGAAACAAAAGGCGTCATGTTTGTGCAAATCCTCAACAACACAAAAACAAAAAAAATCAATTCTTTAAATCAAATTCAGAGTAAAAAAAGAGTGTTACGTTGCTGGGTAAGTTGCAGAACCTAAATGATTTTAAAACTTTAAGCTAGTAATTTCATCGAACACATGGTGTGTATAAAAGACAAGCGCTAAAGATGGTAAGAAAAAATGAAACTCTAGAAAATCAAATACCTTGGGGGTTCATGATCAACATAAATCTTGAGGAAACTCCATAAAACAACAACACTTAACAAAAATAAATTAAACCTAGCCTGGAGGAACTAGTAACGAGTATGAGGAAGAACCCTAATCAATTCTCCAAACCTTTCCACCGTCAAGAGTTTGTGAACACACAAATCTCGACGCATTAGCTGTTAAACAAAATCATTGATAAACCCGATTCACAATTTCAAACGAAAACCAAACCAGATTTAAAGAGGAGAGGGAGATAAAAAAAAGACAGTGAGAGGGAGGACGAGAGAGTGAGATCGAAAGGAGGAGAGTGAGACCACTAATCGATTTCTTTTAGGTATGAGTATATGAGAAGTTCTCGATAGGTTTTGGGTGAAAGGGGGAAATGTTTGTGAGAAGTTTTAGGTCTGAATCTATGAGAAAGAGGGAAATGAGTAGACTGTGGCGCTTAAGTGAAATTTTTGGCCTAAGTATTAGCAGAATAAATGATTTTACATTTCCATTTGCTAATTGGGTATCTTAGCGTTGTTTCAATGCTATAATATAGTAATCAAATAATTTTTTTATTTTTTATAGTAGTTGCGAAAAATGAGCTATCCTCACGTGCTATCAATGTGGATATTTCTTGTAGTGAATGGATCATCCTCCTGATCATCCCCATCATTAACTAGCATGATTTGAAAAAGGACTAGTTTGGAAACATGCCTTTGTGTGAAGATTTCATCACAGTATAGACCTTTTGCTTGTCGCTCCGTCACTCAACGCTTGTCAATTTCTTTAAAAAATCGTTGTTGAGCAGCTTGTTTCACTTCTGTTTGTTGAAGCAACATAGCTTCCTCGTTTTTTCCGATTTGGCTCTCACCATGACCTGTCAAAGGTGACCTAGTTAGTAGGATTGAATATCGAGATGGGGCGCAAAGTGTCCTCCAAATGCTCGAGTAAGTTTATCGCCCTTAATCTTGCATTTATTATCTCGTGCATATTCCACAGCTTCGAAAATTGTTTTGAACCGAAAGTACTTTATTTCTTTTCGTAGGCTGTCTGTTAGTCCAGCGCAAAATTACCACAACTGTTGATAAATAGTTTAATCTTGTTTATCTTCCCAAGCATTCCTCGAATTAATTGCAGTTTCGTCAACAGTTCTCGTACGTCCCAAATTATAAATGTTTAGGGTTTTGAAAAATGAGAGATGAAGACCGCGGCGGCGGTGATAATAACAATGTTTCATGTATAGGCCAATTTTGGTTAATTTCGTTGTAATTATAAATTTTCTAATTAATTGATGCCCGAACAAAGCGAACCGTAATTCATTTTGCTAAATATTGAACTAACCAGCTTGGTTTGGTTCGATTAAACCAAAATCGCATGGTTAATGAATAGTTAAAGTTAAGCCAAAGAAAAAAGAAACAAATAACTCAGGACGACGTCGCTTGGACATCATCCACTCAGCAAAAGTCTAACCCATAAAATTATCTCTCAAAACTCAGCCGCCCAGATCAAGAAACAACAATGCAAGTCTCACTGGTTCAAGTCTCTTCAGTGTACTACTTCAGATCTCAATCAACGATTCCTACTCTCTCCAACTCCAACCCCTCTTGTTTCCTTCTGCCAAAGTCCATCTTTCCTGGGTCTAAGTTAACCCTCCATCGATTTTTTCGTTATCCCAAGAAAATCTCAAATGGGTCTGCTCGTGCTTCTCTGCTTGAGACCCCTGTCTTATGGGCTGGTCGGATTTGTGTCTTCTACGCTCTCGTGAAAGCTGGTTTTGCGGGATCAAAGTCTAACCCTATCGTTTCTGGTTTTGTTCATCAATGACTTCTCTAGGGTTTTTTTTGAATGGTTCGTTTTTCTTGTTTTTGATTTTTGGTTTTATTTGGATAATCTTAGGTTTGGAAAGTGGTGGTGTTGATGTTGAAGATGATGGTGCTGATCTTGGTTTCTCAAAGTGGCTTCAGAACATTAAGGGCAACAAACCAGGTTTTGTTTTAACACTTATGACTTATCTGTCTATAGGATTTTGTATCTTGTGTTTTAACACTTATGATCCAATTTCAGACATAATTTTGTGTGGTCTCCTGGTTCCGCTATAGATTCAATTTCATTATTTGAAGAAGGAAGAGAATGCCTGAGTCTATCTAGCTTCAATGTTGAGTATGAGACAAAAATTTTTTTACCTTATATGTTCAGATAAGGATGCAGCTGATAAGAGGAAGCTAGTGAGCAAATGGCACCCGACGACAAAGGGAACACTTAGAAGGAACTACAGGATACCTTCCAAAAGCGAAGGAAACCGTCTGCTTAAAGCCATTGCGTCTCTTCTCTCAGATGATGATCATTTTAGAGATGCAACATCTCACAAGGTAACAAAACATATATATAGTTATCCTACACTTTATGTTCGGTGAAAATACCATACTGAGACACTATTGTAGGGTTGTCAAATTCGGCGGGAGAGTGCGCACGGTCAAAGCGTATGTTGCAACAATGTGAGAGCTCTGTTTGATGAGTTACCGACGCCACATTTGGTGGTGGAGATCACACCTTTTCCAGCCGGACCGCTTACAGAGAATGATTACCTTAAGGCCGAAAAGCTGGAAAGGATTCTTAGGTCAGGCCCCAACATTTGAACCCTCTGGCACTTAAGAGAAAGTGTTCTACTATATGTCAAAATCAAGAATCTGTACATACTCTACGGTGTCTTTATTATGTAGACGTTCAAATGTTTTGAGACTATGAAAGTGTTCCTTTCTTGTGAAGCATATATTATTAAAAATCGTTCTTAGGTTTGGAGTTGCAAATGAGAGTCTTCTGCAAATGATTAAAATTTCAAAATTATGCACACACGGATATGTACATTGATTGGATATGATAGTTAATGATTTCATCATGCAATCTTCAATGTAACAAAAAAAATAAAAAATAACTTAAGGTAGTGGAGCAAATTGCAATTGCATTTATACATGGTAAATGACATAAATCGATGAAGTCACTTGTAGCAAAAAGGGACAGTCCCTATTAAAGTTTAGCAGTCCCTAATGCAGAAACGTGGCTATTGAAAACACACTACTGTATTAAGCATCACTAGGTGAAAACGGGTCATATACTTGATGGACACCAGAGTTGAACCGGTGGCGAATCTGTGGTTGGCCACGTGGTATCAGGTTATCATGATGAAACACTGGTCTTGGAGGGAAATGAGCAGAATGCTGCGGAAATTGAGCCCCAGGGAAGTTCCTAGGCATCATCTGAGACAATGGAGGTCCAAAGTTCTGCAAGTTGGAAGATCTCGCAGTACCATGAAATGGTGCAGATGGGTGGCTTAAGGGTTGATCCATCTGCCTGCCGAAGTGCTGTGATCTTGTGTGATTTTGCTCAAAATGCTGAGAGGCTGGAATGACGGATGGAGCTTGAAATGCCAGATGAGGAAGATGAACTGATTGAGAGTTGGGTGTAGGATATATATGTGGTGTGGAAACAACGTTTGGTTGTTGTGGAAGGAAACCAAAATCCCCGTGAAATGGTCTAGGAGCTGAATTTGTGAGAGGATTTATGGGAGGATAAGTAGGAACAATACCAGCAGGCCTACCAGCAATATGTGCTGACACTGACATGGGACGCAGAGAACCACCAGAATCATATTCTGCTAGATGTTCAGTACCTGGCTGATGAGGTATCGGATGTGGACTAAAGTTAGGAGCCAGAGGCCGTACTGATTGTGCCATGTTGCTTGAGACTATGTCTGGCAACAGTGTTGGTCTATGTACAGGTTGGAAAGTAAATAGGGTCGACGGCCTCATAGTAGAACGTGGTCCTATTGGTTGTATCTCACTGCAAGAATATGGAGGCGCAGTCACAGAATAGGCCCTTGGTGTGTTGGAAAGGCTAAAAGAGAACGAATCTGGTGGTCGAGGGACGTTAGAACCAGGAGGTAACGATGTGTCATGAGGAACTGGAAGTGTTTGCTGAGCAGAAAGATGATTGAGGTTCATCAAATTGGTAGGCAGTTCTTGTTCCTGGATACTATAACCAAGACCTGAAGCATAGGGTTTAAGAGGTGGATGAAATGTAGCTTGATTTGAATCCAAAAGAGAGGAGGAACCATGCTGTTGGACTTGGCTTTGGGGAGGTTGTACAGAGCTATCAGTTGGCTGTTCAGAGCTCGGGTTGGTAGCACGCATGTTGCTGTTTTCTAGAATAGTTGAAATCTCTTCAGATCTGGAAGATGGAGGAGCAGCACCAGCTCCTGTATTTCCCTATAAGGGAAAATGATATAATCTGATTATCAGACTTTAAATAATAAATGCTAAATTATACTTCTAACTAAGAATTAGGAACTCACAGACACTGAAGAGATAAGTAGCTCAATTACAGCAATAGCTGCATCCACTTTTTCGTAAGTGTCAGATGATATTTGAAAATATAACTCTTGCCACGACGTCTGGATTTTATTTTCATCTGAAGGAGAGAGTTCAACCTGCAAATTTAAAAGGAAAATCTATATAAACCCTTGCAATAAGCATACTGAGAATTCTCAGTGACCAGCATAAAGAAGTAATGGTAGTCTATTATGGAAATCTCGATGATAGTGTATTCCAATATTTACCTTCTCTCCTCCTGTTTTAGTACCAAAAATTTGTACTTTGGCTCCAGTCTCCTGTTCCCATAATGAAAAAACTTAGCACGTATGCAGAGTCATATTAAATGATAACCAATTTGTCTTTGGAAGCAAGGAAGAAATGTCAGAAAGAGACACTGAAGTATGTTGACTCAAGGCAGGTAAGGAATTGTAGCTGTGAATAGCAGCAATGAAGTTCATGGGTGACTTACTTTTTCGAGCCGCTTTTGAGTATCACCTTGGGAACCAAATATGAGACTTAGAAAGCTGAAATCAGAATGTTCTTTTACCTGCAGAAGCACAGGTCCATACGATATCAGCTGTGAGAAGCTGAGTTTTCACATAACATAGAAAGCAGAATCCAAAGGATGTTGTCTAGGTTTAAACAGCTTCATATATCAAACCCTCAAGTGATACAGAAAATATGGTGGGAAAATAAATAAAGGTAATCAAAAGTATTTATACTTGTAGTCCACTCTTTACATGGATTTAAACAAGACTATAATGAGAAAAGAGAAACATATGCCGAAATAAGACCTATTTTTTCTTTTACAAAATAAAATTCCCAATACTCTCCCAAGATATGGCATGAGCAATCTCTCAAACAAATCTAAAAGACTTTCTAGCTTCGGTGAGGTAGTAAGGTGTAACTTGACATGAGAGAACAAATGCATGATTTGATAAAAGTTTAACCCTCTAATCAAGCAAGAACTTACGTCGATCGGCAACCTAGCTTCTTTCAGCAATGGCTTATAATCAGATGGAGCCTTGTACCTCGGATTCAACTCGAGTATCTCCCCTAGAAGTAAAGAAACTATATATCACTTGAGGGAAAGCGAATGTACAGATTGAACGAGGAAATTTTACCAGAACATACCAATTGCTTCGCGTTTTTCAATTTCAAGCTGTTCAGCAATATTAATCTATTAACACAAAGATGACAGATGAGGTTACATAGCTAAAGAAGCACAATAGAGAAGAAAAAAAGTACTGAAAATCACTTACATCACTGCTGTTCTGTGAAGCTAAAGCTGACTCTCTATTAGTCTCCACTTCAAGAGTTCCCGATTCCAATTGCTGTGTAATTTGATCCAGGCGTTTCTGCTCAAAATTTGGTCACCAAACACGCAGTATATCACTTACTGGTACCTGACATGGATTGTTCCATTTTGAGCAATTCACAAGAAGACACTAATGCGAGCTTAGTACCAATGGGTAAAACTAACTTATCAGTGATTTTCGTCTTGGCAGCAGAATAAAGACTAAAATATTGAACACTTAGGTTCAAGTGGAATGTCTTCTGGCTTAACAAATTCTCGCAAAATGTTCAAATTCAAATCCTTTACATCCAAATTAATCTATTCATTAACTATCAGAAACATATAGCTATCTTCTCATTTTATGTCCTCTCTGCATCAAAATTTTGACTAAGAAGTGGATAGTTTCAACATATAATCTGTGTAACAAACTTAAAATTTCCAACTTCACAAAACATTTGTGCAAAACCACTTGATTTTATTCAAAAAATAAACCACATGTATATGAATAGCTTCAAATCGAACATCTTCGGGCTTAACAAATTCTCGAAAAATGTTCAAATTCCAA